TCACTCTGTATAGTTAAATAGTGAACTAGGTAAGTGTGAGTTCCCCAAGGCCATATACAGTACATCTCTGCTAAGAAGAGTATTTTGACCCCAGGAGGAGCACCAGATGGCAACAGCAGGCTTCTGCCTAGTCAATCAGGCCATAGTGTGGCATTCTACTTCTTTCTTTTTTTTTTTTAAAGATTTACTCATCTATTTATACAAGAACCGGGGTACAGGCCAGATTCACAGGAGGGTGAGAGGATTCACCAGAGACAGAGAGGGGAACAGAACAGGCAGACTAACGAAATACACTGCTGAGGGGAGCAGCGGGAGTGACAGGAGAGGTCTGCTGTGCCACGAGGGCCCTCACCGGCCGGCCAGGATTGAACCTGTGCTGCAGAGGTTGTGGACAGCTTCACAGCACAGCACTCAACCGCCTGCGCCACCAGGGGAGGCCCGGCATTCTACTTCTTCCATTCTGCTTCTTTCTACACAGTCTCCACTCCTAGGGCTGGAGCAGGATGGGAGTGTGCAACGAAGCAGAAGGTACACAGCACCCAAGGGAACATTCCACATAAAGAGACAGTGGGATGTATTACAGAATGCAACAGCAAGGAGGGCCCCTATAGCATATCTAATTCAAGCTGCTTTTTTTTTTTTTTTTGGTGGGACCCTCACCCAGCGCTCAACTGCTGCACCACCAGGGGAGGCCCTCAAGCTGCTAATTTTATAGGCCCAGAAAGGAGTCCAGAAAAAAGTAACTGATCCAAAGTGGCCAGAACTAGAACCCAAGTCACCAGCCCATTTCTCTGATCCTCCAACCATGACAAAATTAAGTATGGGAAAATGAAAAGTGTAAAGTTAAGTCCATGTACACTGTACCCCCATCACCTCCACCAGCTAAACAAACATACCTTTTTAAAACTACCACATCTCAATCTCTTATTTCTTTTCAGTCCTGCTACTTATGAAGTTCAAATTTCTGATTCTTATCCAGGACTTAGCAGATGCCTTGAAGACCTGAGTACTCAGAATCCCAGCTCTGCTCAAGTATGTTGCTACCTGGGGAGGGAGAGCTTTGGGAAGCAGGAATAGAAAATAAGTAGTCTCCTCAACTCAAGAATATTCTGGATCACACGTCATGGTTACAGTACAACTGACTCTAAACCCAACAGCTTTTGAAGCTCACTCTCACAGAAAGACAACAGGCTACCCAGTTAACAAGAGAGGAAAATTAATAACAAGGAAATTGAAAGGAGGGCAAATGCTTCAGGTTCAGTCTGGAGGGCGTGAGTTTAACTATCTTCATTCAACCTGATTCTCACTTATATGCCTGAGGAATTAGGTACTTCCTGAGAACAGAGATGGTACAAGGCAGGATATGTGGATAAGGTCCTATGTGAACATTTCCTATTTCTATGCAAAGGAATGAGTTCTTGATTGAGTTCATCAAGAACCCTTGATGAGTTCTTGAATGAGTTCTTGAATGAGTCCTCCCAATGATTACCCATTTGCTGCAGTTCCCCATTGTCTAGGCACCTCCAGCCAGAGTTGGCTACAGACAATGTTGGCTACAAGGAAACTGATTATTTGGTTCTGCCTTCCCAAATAACAGGGGAAGGCATTTATGGAAGAACCTTGGTGCTTCCAGCACAGGGAGTGGCTAACACACCTCGTAGCAGGCTGGTGGGTAGGTACTTTTGAACATGTGGGCTGTTTGGCTGTGTGTCAGCCCTGCTTTACCACCTGATGAGAAACTGTTCCAGGACTGGGAACAAGTAGACGATATTAGGTTCCAGCATGAGGGGGCAACTTGAGAAAAATCTAAAAAGTATACCTGAATTACAAAACAAAACTATTTGGGGTACTATGTATTTATTTTATTATTCAAATCAAAAGTTAATCATAATAAGACTCATGCCCTCTTTTAGCTTATCTCATGCAAGAAAAAATGATTTTCACTATATACCTGAGGGATTAAGGTACACTGAAAGTGGCCATCTCAACAACAAAAAAGACAAAAGACTTGAAAGAATACATACTAATAAGTAAACCAACAAATCAAGAAATTATCTCCTTTGTAAGAAAAAAGTGAGGGTGAGATATAGTGGTGAGATATGAGGGTGAGATATAGTGAAGGGGAAAAACAGAAGAATAAATGAGTGAATGAAAGAAAGACTCAGAAAATAAGGTAAATTAAGAAATTATAGTCAAATATTAGGGCACCAAAGTAACAGGAAGGATAAGAAGCTGAGCAAATGCTTTTTCTGCCTAATGGGTTCCTAAGAGTCTAAAAGTAGAAATAAAAATGTCTTTATTTTAACACAACACATTTTCTTCCAACTGATCTCCATCCATGACATGGATAAGAGTAAGTCACTTATGGTTGCACTTTTAAGAGGCTACAAATCCCTGAATATTATACCATACATACATGTTCACTATACAATGACAAAGCACTAATTGCTCACCAATCAGAAAAAAAATCTGTCAAATCTGTCTATAACTTTTACTCTAAAATAAAAACATTATTCTTAATTAAAATCTTTTCACATTTTTATTTTAAAATAAATAGCTTCCAGAACACATTGACAGCAATGGGGAAATGAGGGTATAAAGGATAGAAGACAGCAGGGAAGCAGAGAAAAGGCCCTAAGGCTGCAAAAATAATGATAGGGCAGCTTTAGAGAGGCCCCTGCTATGACACTGCCCCCCCCCCCACCCATGCTACTCATAAGGAAGCTCAGCTAATGCACAGGGACACAGAGAAAGGGTTAAAGAAAAGAGCTCCCTTGACAGATTAGGCTAAAAGATGAAATCAATTTGCACTCACTCCAGTAAAGTGAGTCCCCCTCCTCAAATCCAATTTCTAGGAATCTATCCTAAAGAAATAATCAAAGAGACAGTCAAAGATTTATATGCCAGAAAGTTTATCACAGCATTTCTGACATTGACAAAGGATTAGAAACAACCAAAAAGTCCAACAGTGTGGGATAGGTAAGGTAAAGCCACTAGAAATCTACTTTCAAAGATTTAAAGACACAGAAAATTACTTGCAATGCCATGTTAAATAAGAGGGGAAAAATTAGGATACCAAGAAGTAGGTACATATGACTCTCAATTGTGTTTAAATATTACATGTATTAAATGCATTTTTAAATACTGAAAAGAAATTCATAAACATGCCAGCAAAGGTTAGCTGTTTTAAATAAAGGGAAGACACATGATTTTTATTCTTTCTTTAGACTCATTTCTAGTAAGTATACATGACTTTCATATCAGAAAAAAAAAGATTTCTTTTATAATATTCCTGCCCTAACATAATTCATTTGAGATAGTAATTGTCAGTCTTAGGGAAAAGCTGCTGAAGACCAAGGCTGACCCAGAACAAAAAGATTTGAAATCTACAGAGTAACTCTCTCCTGAAAAGGAAGAGAAGTCTGGTGTGCCACACTCTAGCTTCTTCCAGCCTGGCTGCTGGCTCTGCTACTGGGCTTTGCAGGAAGCTCTACTCAAGAACAGATTCCTTCTCCACAGTAACCACACCCCCAGCTGTGTCTCCCACCTCTTAGAGGATTACAAGGTAAAAGAAAGAGCCCTAATCCTTTGTTTCAAATAAGTTTTTCTTGTAATGCTAACAAAAATGACTCAAAATTAGCTATGCAAATTTTGAAACACAAATCATTATTTTCAGTAACCACGTATAAATGACCCATATTTCTCAAGAATGAATATAAACCAAAATCTGAGTGCCATCTTGTGGTGAGTTTCACTATTACCTCGCCCGCCCATCCAGCCCCTAGCTCCCTGCAGCACTCCCATAGAGGCATATGCCCATAATAACCTACTACCTTGAATAGTACCTGGTACTATTTGTTTTCAAGGGTTTTTAGTTTAGATCCCAAAGGTGCCCAAATGAAGATAAGTGGGAATTAAGTAACATGGGAATAAAATGCAGATCATGCATGTGTGTTGTGTTGAGGGGCCAAGGGTAAGTTGTGGGTGTGGTAGATCCACACATACATACCAGTACCGCCATAAGGCAGGGACCTGTAGGATAAATATCTCCTGGGAATATTTATTGATTTGATTAAATTATGAAGAAAAAAAATTTTACATTTACAATTAGTGAACTTTGTGCTTAGAAGTTTTATTGATCAAGGTTAGAGCAACTATCACTAACTTGGGCACAATTCCAAAACAGAGCTCTTTTTGGATTATGGCCATAAAATTTCTCTAAACTTGTTAAGATCTTGAAAAGTAGAAAGTTTTCCTAATACTTTAGAAAAAACACCAGTCACTAATAAGTTGATTTTACACTGAAAGTGGTGTCCTCCTCTTTTGAAAGGCGGGACACCACTACTTGGAACATCTAAATGTATTCATTAATTTCAATGGACTAGGCATGAGAGGAGATGGAGAAATCCTCACATTACAATTGATCAAATGGCTCTGGGATAGAATTAAGCATTTAAAAGAGGTCAGTATTGCAACTGTGATGGAACACAGAACACTGAAGGGACCTGATACTGATTCTGAGAAAAGATAACCTTCCTCTTGAAAGGGCTTAAGCTAAAAATCTTGCAGTTCTGGGCAGGAGGATCCCAACGAACAGACAACAAACAGCATGAAGGGAGAAGCTGAGCAAATTATTGTTATTTTGGGAGATGGTGCTTACTTAGGCTTTCTCTGCCCCACCCAGGTTGAAGGTCTATTTCCAGAAAAGGGCCCTCCTGTTAGGACTTTAAGGTGCAAACTTATGGCAGGAAGTTGTTGCTTTGGTCCCGGACCTGTAAAGGAGAGCATTTTCAAGCATGTGAAATACATTGAAGTGACCCAGATGGGAAGAATCCCAATTAGGTGAGTTGTGAAGAAGCCATTAGCCAAAATTAATCTGACTGCTTGTTCACCTCTCCAACCTCAAGAAGCAATTTTTTCCCCCTCCTAAGCTGAAGGGATTGAAATACTCGACTGCTCCTGTTTAAAATAAGCCAACATACTGAAGAGGAAAGAAATGTATTAAAAACCTGAATCTTGACAAATCAATTCAGGAAGAACCCTTCATTTGTTGTCTGCACAGGGAAAGCAAATAACAAGGCTCCCGCTGTCCACAAAATTTAAGAGGGAGGGAGGGAAAAGAATTCTCTCCTTGCCCAAATAAAACTCAAAATCATAAGCTCCCTTTAAAACAGTAATAGCCTTGCTCCACCAGAAGAATCTTGGGATCAGTATGGGTTAGTACTCAGTCTTGTCACCCTGGCTTCGACAATTAACAAGATTATTTAAATGGAGAAAAGACTTTTATCTTGGCTCCAGCTTCCCAGCTGTCCTAACCTGGGAGGGAAGCTGCGATCATGACAGCTTGATGGGAAGGTCTTCCCCATATTTCCGGAGGAGCTTCTGATGGTTATGGTCCACTGACCATTGCTGAGGCAGGTACTTGGGCTGCATGGAGTCCAGGAAGTGCTGACGCCAAAGGCTTTCCAGGTACATGAGGGAGCGCAGCCCACCATGTGTGTGGCACTGCACCACCTTGAGCCCATGAGGAATGTAGTTTTCATTGGAGATCCTGTCAAGACACAAAGTACAAAGGGTCTGAGGGAAATCGCACAGGAGGGTATCACAGGTGGCTCCAATGGTACTGGCCCAGGGGCTTCCACAGGGATACATGGAGAAGTTGTTAAGACTCTTAAAAGGTTGGTTAAGTTTTTAGAACATCTTTCCCATATCTGCCCCTTTTAAAAAAGTTTGGACATACTGCACACAATCCAAGGTTCTGAGCTACACTTATGGGAAAGCCATTAAGCTCAGCCCTTACTAGAGGGGCCCCTACTGTCAGGCTGATAGTGGGTGAAAAATGTTGGCCTTTTATTTACATTAGAGTTACTCAGTGACCAGCTCACTCTTGTTTTAAGTTACTCGTTCTGAACCATTGTAAGGGCAGGAAGGACACAGTGCAAGTTTTCTGCTTCTGCTTCTTTCTCGGCTTCTGCTGGTGTGCCCGTGATGCCGCCCTTAAAAGCCCAGTCTTAGCCCAGGTGAGTCCCATGTACATATGCCCACACCCTACTCCAGGTGCCCGCCATCAGGCATGCATTCAGGACCACAGGGTTCCATCATCTATCCTAATGGCGGGAGGGCAGAAAAGCCTGATACTTTTTACCTTACCCTACAACCATATACTCAATATATCAGCCCACATGTTCCTGTTTCTTGAAACAATGCAATACCTGAGTGTAAAAATGCAGGAAGGTAGATTTCTTTAGTGCTTTCTTTCTCATAAAAAGAATGCCAAACTGCATCCATGAAAAATGCTTCAGTCACCATGAAATGCTACAATGGTTGCTCACACGTGTAGCTGATGCTGTTTAATGAGAAAAGGAATCCTGCCTCCTTCCTAACTAAGCAAAGAACACTTAAACACTTTTGTGATACTGTAATAGTGTAATCCCCATAAAAAGGGAAGGACTGGGGTTCCCTGGTGTAGGGCAAAGAAAATATCAGGCTTTTCTGCCCTTCCGCCATCAGGATAGATGATGGATCCTTGTCCTGAATGCATGCCTGATGGCGGGCACCTGGAATAGGGTGTGGGCATAGGTAGATGGGATTCAGCTGAGCTAAGACTGTGCTTTTTAAGGGCGGCGTCACGGGGACGCCAGCAGCAGCAGTAGAAGCCAAAGCAGAAGCCGAAAGAGAAGCCGAGAAGCAGCAGAACGAACGCTAGAGAGCCCAGATAGAGTGAAGACTTGCTGGGGGCTGGGAGGCCTGCCAGCCTCCCAGACACCCAGCCAGCACCCCTGCCTGCCATATGCCTGGTGAACCCCAATAAAAAACCTGCAAAACTACTGAGGACTCTGACTCCTCCTTTACCCGGTCTGCATGGGATCAGAAAACCTGCACTGTGGCCAGTCCTGCCCTTACACCTGGCCTACCTAAGGAAGGGTGGAGAGCAGTGAGGGGAAGTTAAAGATAAAATCAGGCCATTTGCAGCAATGTGGATGGATCTAGAAGGGATTATGCTCAGTGAAATAAGCCAGAAGGAAAAAGAAAAATATTGGATGGTCTCACTTATAGCAGGAATATAGGGGAACCGAATAAGACATCAGTGTAAAAAAATAACAGTACAAAACAGAACAAAGCAAAAACAGACAATTATAAATCAGAGACATCCTGCAGGGGAGGAGGAGGGAGAGGGATCAGAGGGAGGGAGGGAGGAGCACAGGGGACTGAGGTGATGGTGCACGGGTGCATTGGGGAAGGAAACTATGAGGACTACACCTGAGGGGGTGGGGGGAAGCAAATATTGTTTAAAAATGAACAATGATGTAAAAAAAATTTTAAGATTAATAAAAAGAAATAAAAATGAAAAAAAGAAATTAACAAAAAGGACTTGGGACAGAAGACTGGAAGAGGACTTGGAGAAGGAACATGGAGCAGAGACGTGAAGAAGCAGCCGAGCTTGCTTCTTGGCCTTGGCCTTGTACCAGGGACTTGGCGGGGCATGGAAAGAGACACTTGGAAGAGACATGGTGAGAGACCTGTGGGGAAGGTGAGTGACATTGGCAGCCTTATATTGACTTGTATTTTGATTTTGCTCTTTTTCCTTCTAGACTTCCCTGACCCCTTCTGCCCCTTTCCTAAGATTCCCCACCAGAAGGTACCTCAGACTTGTGGCAAGCTTTTGGCCTCAGAGGCCCTACTTTGGGCCAAGCCTGTTTGGCGGGGCATTTTCCATGGGGAGATGGGTAATTGGGTGCTCTATTGGGAAACTATATTCTTTCTCTTCTCTTCTCTCTATTGCACACTAGTTCTATTAAAGTTCTTTTCTATTGAAGGTCTTATGCACTAAGAGTATTGTAGGGTAAAGAAAATGTCAGGCTTTTCTGCCCTCCTGCCATCAGGATAGATGATGGATCCTTGTCCTGAATGCATGCCTGACAGCGGGCACCTGGAATAGGGTGTGGGCAGAGGTAGATGGGATTCACCTGGGCTAAGACTGGGCTTTTAAGGGCGGCGTCACGGGGACGCCAGCAGCAGCAGAAGCCCAGCAGAAGCCGAAAGAGAAGCCGAGAGAGAAGCAAAGAAGCAGAAGCAGAAGCAGAGATCACCGGAGAGCCCAGATAGAGTGAAGATTTGCTGGGGGCTGGGAGGACTGCCAACCTCCCGGCCCCCCAGCACCCCTGCCTGCCATATGCCTGGTGAACCCCAATAAAAGACCTGCAAAAAACCATGGAGGACTCCGACTCCTCCTTTACCCGGTCTGCATGGGATCAGAAAACCTGCACTGTGGTCCAGTCCTGCCCCTACAAGTATGTTTGGCTTTATGTGGTAGATGGCAGAACCCATTTAGAGCAGGTAGGTTTGGGGGGGTCCCGGGTAACCCCTTAGTCCGCCTGCTAGTAATATCAAATAATGTTCTTGCTGCCTGTGAATAAGGACTACTTCTCTCAGGAAATGTCCTTGACCTGAGGAAACCATTCCTCTCCCTGCATCCACACCCCACTCTAAATCTTCCCCCAAGACCTCCACCAACCTAGCAGTGCTAGCACCCTCTGGGTATTTGCAGATTTTTGTTATTTAGCTCAAGTATACTAATTTGCTTATCTTTCCTGAAACAGCTGTTGTCAGTCCTAGAACCAAGCCCAGCACCCTTCTATCCAAGTGGACAAGATGAATTTGTAAGAAAGGTCTGTGGCTGAAAGGGGAAATTTAGCTGTTTTAGGAAACACATTTGGGAATTGGTTAAAGAAGCCAGTGTCATTAATTTCTAATATGACTTTGGCAAGTTACTTAGCTTTAATCTCAGGGAAGCTAGTATAAAACTTGAAAAATAACATCTGTTCTACATCCTTGCACTATAGTTATAAGGCTAAAATTCACTAATTTTTTTAAACTTTGAAATGTTTTTAAAATGCAAGATAAAATGTTAGCAGTACCAACAAGAAATTTAAATTTTACCTCAGGATTGTAATAAATAATTAAGGCAATTTATGTAAAGGCTATTCATTTGGTTAAATGGATTAGGGTGTCTAAATATATGATCAATAAATAAGTTATAATTAGGTTTTTGGCTTGCTGATGGCAAAAAGAATGGGCAACCAGCATCACTATCAGAGTTTCAAACTTCTGAGTTCAATTATTTCAACCCCTAACTTTATTTTAAAAAGTGACCATTGGGAAGCAAACTATAGCAGGTAGCCTAGAGTTTTAATCATTTGAGCCCTGTGCCCCTCATTACTCAGGACCACAAACTTCTCCTTTGGGAACACTGAATAAAGTCACATGAATTCGACTATGTACTCATGGGGAAGGGGGTAGAAGGCAAGGAAGGAAAAAGAGAAAAGTAATTTAAATAGTAACAGCAATTCAGGCCAGCATTCCATTCAGTGGGTCAATCCCCTGGAGTGCAGGTGAGATAGGAAATATGAATCCATTGGCCTCAATTCCCAGAGTTGGAAAAGAGACACAAACCACACATACTGTACCACCTGGGCAACTTCAGTGATTTATGGGGTTTGTTTTTTTTTTTTTTTTTTTTGAGTGCTATTTTCATCTTAAGTTTGACTTTAAGATTTACTTCTACATAGACTATATAAGGTACAATTCTACTGCATTTGAGCCCTCTTGCTAATCATGAAAATGACTGGACATATGAATATGACTGTATAGGGTTAGGATAAGACAAAAGTCTCCTATGGAAAGGAAATTCAAATTGGTCATTCTATCCCACCCCCAAGGTATCTGATGCCATTAGATACTTCATGGGATAAACATGAGGCTATGCACTGCACCTAAATGGCTATTGCTCTCTTCCTGACAAGCATTCTCACTAAGTAATCAGGGCTAATGTCACGGGGTTATTCCTCAGTCCCTTTTCTGATGAATACTATAAACTGTACCTGGTCTCTAGGCTGGCAGCCTCCCGAAGCATCTCATCTGTGACTGTGTCCGTGTTATAAAACTCTCTGAGTGATTGCAACAGCTCCTTCTTTCGATCAGCAGGCAGGCTCTCAGCATTGAGCAGGGCCCTGGCCCCGGAACGCACCTGCCGGCGCTCAGGATCTTCTAAGAGACGCAAGCCCTCCTCAGAGCCAATGGGTGCCTGGAACTCCTTGGCCAATTGCTGCTTCAAATGGTTGTCATAGTAGTTAGAGATGGCATGGCAGGAAGTGCAGAGCAGCAGCACATCGTGGGAGTTATGGTCCTTCATCTCGATGGGGAAGTGCTTCCGGTATTCATGTGGAATCACATTCTTCCTGAACAAACCCATCCAGGAGGTAATGCTCATTAGCATATGACACAGAACATGCATAGAGGTAGCAGGCAGGCTACTAGGATTTGGCAATGGGCCTAGACATGACTGAGAAACCTTGGGCACCACAATTCAGCAGAGATTACATAAAGGTAATAATGCTACCTACTCCATTATTGACCCACCTGCCTAACTGTGCCTAAAGGTCCTCTCTCCTTGCAGTACAGATCACCTGCTACCAGGCTTCAGTGGAAGGCCAAGGGTAGGGAGAAGGCAATAACATCCTTTGAGAAGATTGTGCTTCCAGAAGGAAAAATGTCAGAGGGAAAAAAAAAAAAAGACAGTCTAATGGTCTTTAATATCTGGAAAATAATCACTCAAAGAAAATTGTAAGTAACCTATACTCTTGAAATTTTTGAAGTCTGGTGCCCTGAAAAAGTCAATTTCCTTCATCTGAGGAATCCCTTATTCTGAGATGATGTCTTTGATTCATCAAAATCCATCATTGTTTTCTAATGAGAACTAATCTTTCAGAAAAAACTCCTGACAACCACAACTACTTATCTCACTGCAAGGAGGGAAAGGAGGAAACTGAGTTATTCCACAGAATCCAGGGAGACAGTCCAGATGCCTTGGGTACCTGGATGCAGTAGGCATATTCACTTTCATTCTGTAAGGACCATGATGAGAAATACACTTCCCAAACTATTCCAGAGGGTGCCTTCAGATCATCGGAAATTTCATGAACAGTAAGCACCAAGGCTCAGAAAGCTGTGAGTCACTCAGGGAGGATTAGAAGGACAAAGAAAGACAGCTTCTGAAGGGACATGTTTCTGGTTCTTCATGAGCAAAAGGAAACCACTCTCTTTATAGTAAACTATTACTGAGAAGAGTATTGCATTCCAGATACAAAGAACTGGGCTTAGGAGGGGGCAAAAGCCATTATCACAAGGCCAGGCAGAGTTTTGAAACTGAAGCTGTTGGGAAAAACTGGGATATCCCCTAGGGAAAAATCTCTTAGCCAAAGTAAGCAGATTCAACTAAGCCCCTGAGGGCTCTGCATGTGGCTACAAAGGCAATTTCTGTCATATGCAGACAATCAGGACAGCCCAACCTCACACTCACCGAATGTAGGAGTCTTTCTTGCCACACACTACACACAGGTTCTCTTTTACCATCAAATAATAGTCTCCTGGAGATTCAGGTCTTCCGGCAGGTTCAAAATGTAGCTTGACCACAAAGGGCTCTTCACTCACCAGCTCTTAGAGAAAAGAAGTGTTAGTGCTTATCCACCTCTTCCCAAGGAAGAAGTACCACCTTAATTGCTCTGCTCTGACTTAGCAGAGATGACTATTTCGACTGTGAATATCAGCCCCACTTGTCTCAAGTTCTGTCTGCCTCCTACCTTTCCCTCCCTCCCCCTTATGTCCCACACCTGCCAGCATCCACAAGCACCTCTTTATAGCTCAAACATGACAGTTGAATCTCAAACCTCCAATGCCTTTGTCCAGATACCACTGAGCTTTTCTTCGATCACAAGTGCAGAGGGGCTGTCCATCAGGAGCATGGAGAAAGCAGTTGTCATAGAGGGGTGATTTTCTGCAGGGAAGAGAGAGAGCGAAATCTAAAACTAGAGGCTTAACTGTTGCAAGGCAGTAGTTGCCTTTCCATGTTCTCTTTTGAATGACCCAATATATTTCAACAGGACGTCAAACACTACATTTATGACACAAACAAACAAAAAACAGACAAGAAACTATGTTTATTCCTCCATCTGCAGTGGGCTTGGAAACAACCAAACCTGAATTGTTTATACTTCCAGTTTTTATACTTATGAATTGACACATTAGGGGGTGAGTTGGGTAGTGTTTCTACAGCTCTGTTATGAAAGCAAATAGGAACAGCACCAAGAAAATGCTCTACAGAGTAATCACTGGATTAAATAAAGTAAATTAAAGAACTTTAAGCTAAAGTAATGATGGCCATGTGGATTTATTTCTGGTTTATATGCAATATTTGCTTCAATATGATTATCGAATTCTAAAGGCACGTTGCTATGGGGACCAAACTTTCATTCCAAAATATTTATTAGTTATCTTTTTCTAATAGAGGAATAAATTGTACGGGAAAATTTTCATTGGCCAGAAAATAACACTGGCTTAGAGCTGGATGACATTTTAAGTAGTCAAATCAGATGCATTTCTCCTAAAAAGTATGAGGCACTTCATGTTATTCATTTTCACAGCTAGCAAGGTAGTAGTAGTTATATTCTCATTTATAACTGGAGAAGTTATAGGTCTGAATTCACATCAGGGTCAGTTAGATTAAGCTCTCATTTCCACCCCAACTGTCAAATAAAAAAAAAAAAAAGGATAAAAGAAGGGGAAAAGGAGAAAACTACACAAATAAAGCCAAAGAGAACTCCAAATGGTCTTGAAGGAAAGAAAAAATAAAATTAACCCCTGGAGAGGCTTTCCTTGCTTCCCACACAAGCCTCCCCAGAAGTAAGGTGAGGCATCATGCCTTTTGCTGGCGGCTGAGTCACTGACTCTTTAGTAGACAAGGAACAATTCAGTTACCTGGCAGAATAGCCCACTCCCAGTGGCTTTCTTTTATGTTTTCTGGGGTCTCTCCCTTGGTGGCTGCCTGACATCATTCCATCATTCTTAGACTTCTTATTTCTTAACTTTTGCTGAGATTCTGTTGCTTCCCCTTTATCCTCTTCTCCCAATCTGCTAATTCTTTTGCTTCGGAATGGAACGTCAACTACATCCTGGCATTTCTCCAACACTTTCCTCCAGCCAACGTGGTTACTGTTTTCTTCTAGAGTTGAATTCCTAGAGAAAGGGTATCCAAGAAGATGGAGAAAGAGAGCCACTGAAATCTGGGCATCCCTGGCAGCATAAATTACCTGAAGAGAAAAGTCATAGATCAGTGGAAACTGGAAGGCAAACCAGAGAGATAGACTTCAAAGTCAATTACAAAGACAGACAACTTTTCAGATTTTTAAAAAAATTTCTTTTTTCAAAAAATTATACATACAAGAACTGGGGTGTAGGCCAGAGGTGTGGGGGGTGGGGAGAGGATTCACCAGAGACAGAGTGGGGAGAACAGGCAGATCTACTGAAATACACTGCTGAGGGGAGCAGTGGGTGAGACAGGAGAGGTCTGCTGCGCCATGTGGGTTAGCTTGCTGGTGGGGGGATGGGACTCAAACTATGGTGACTGGCGATAGCTTGATAGCACTGTATCTTTAACCAGTGCCACCAGGGAGCCCCCAACTTTCAGATTCTAATTCAAAAGGTACAATCACCTAGGCACCATGTACTTCTTTTTTTTATTTATTTTTATTTAAATTTTATTTTTATATTCCCCATACAATTACAACCCCCTTATTTTTACCCCAAGCCCTCCTTTCCCCACCCCCCACCCCCCATAGAGTGTCTCTGGTTCATAGTTGTTTGTTGATTTTGATATTTTCTTTCTTATAGTTATTCTTTGTCCTGGTCCCTTATTTAAGTTTTCTAGATTCCTACTATGAGTGAGACCATCCGGTATTTTTCTTTTTCTTTCTGGCTTATTTCGCTGAGCATGATCCCTTCCAGCACCATCCATGTTGCTGCAAACTGCATGTGTTTATCTTTTTTGAATGCTGAGTAATATTCCATGGTGTATATGTACCACATCTTCTTGATCCAGTCATCTATTTTTGGGCATATGGGTTGTTTCCAAAGCTTAGCTATTGTAAATAGTGCTGCTATAAACATAGGGGTGCAGGTGCTCTTTGGAATTGATGTTTCTGTGTCCTTTGGGTAAATACCTAGGAGTGGAATTGCTGGATCATATGGAAGCTCTATGTTTAGTAGTTCAAGAAATCTCCACACAGCTCTCCATAGTGGTTGGACCAGTTTGCACTCCCACCAACAGTGCAGGAGAGTTCCTTTTTCTCCACAACCTTGCCAATAATTTGTTGTTGCTAGTTTTTTTAATATGTGCCATTCTCACTGGTGTAAGATGGTATCTCATTATCATGTACTTCTTAAAGGCTTTTTATTAAAAACTTTATAGAATTTCAAACTATCCAAAGATAAATAGGATAGTGTAATGAATCCTCATGAAATCACAGCCTCCCTTGTCTATGTTTTCACTAAAAACATGACAACTCTAAATATTTGAAAATCCTCACCTTAAATCAGTGACTTTTATTCTGTCTACTACCAAACCTGTTGATGAGATTTTTCTCAAGTTTGGAATAGGTAGTAACTACAGATCTGGCAACCGATACATGAAATTCACTTTGGGGATAGGAATCATGTAGAACCGCTGAAACCAAGCTCCATTAAGATACCTATATGACTGTCAATCAGAAGTTACCTACCAAATCTATTAATGAGATATTAAAAACAAATAGATTTCAAACACAGGCTTCAAATCAAAAGTTGTAAGCGTCCATTTCTGTAATTTAATAATGATAAGCAATACTCCCACCCAACATAGGCAAGCTGGTCATAAATAAAAGTAGTCAAAATTATAAAAATATCTTTTCCTGACAATGGGTATAAGGACTTTAAAATTCTTTTAATTTATATTTGCTAACCAAGCCTTCCAAACAATACTATTAGTTAGGCTTTTTAATGTTTTTAGAATAAAATAAGTTTGGGTAAAAATTTCCACGCAGACCCAACAATCCACACATCTATCAACAAGCTGTTTTCCACAGAAAAGGCTTGAATGTGAAGAATACACAGTGATTTTTAACAAACTGTTTTCAAATGATAAGGAAACCAAGGCACTTTCAATATATTTGATGTTGAAACAACTGGATGTTCAGATGCAAAAGTATGAAAATGGGCCCAACCTTATATCACACACAAAAATCAACTCAAAAGTGGACATAAGCCTAAATCTTAGAGCCAAAACATAAGAGTCTTAGAAGAAAACAAGAATAAATTGGGTTAGACAATGATTTCTTAAAGGTGATATCAAAAGCATGAGCAATAAAAGAAAAAATAGGTAACTGGATCTATCACAACTAAAAACTTTTTTTTTAAAGATTTATTTATTTATTTATACAAGCACTGGGTACAGTCAGAAGAGCGGGAGGGTGAGAGAATTCACCAGAGCCAGAGCGGGGAGCAGAGCAGGCAGAAGGACCGAAGTACACTGCTGAGGGGAGCAGCGGGCGGCAGGAGAGGTCTGCGCGCCATGTGGGACCCTCCTCCCGTGGCCGGGGAGCAGCTGGGGATCGAACCGGCCCTGCAGAGGCTTCAGGCAGCTTCGCAACCCAGCGCTTAACCACTGCGCCACCGGGGAGGCCCTCACAACTAAAAACTTTTGTGCTTCAAACAGCTTTAAGTAAATAATAGCCTGCAGCACTGCAAGAAAATATTTATAAATTATACATCTGATAAGGGAAATATATCCAGAATATACAAGGAAATCTTAAAACTCAACAATATGGGGACAAACACAAAATTAAAATATGATCAAATGATTTGACCAGGTATTTCTCCAAAGGAGATATACAAATAGCCAGTATTATATGAATATATATTTAGCATCATTCATCACTACGGAAATGTAAATCAGAAGCACAATGAAATATCACCTTACACCAGTGAGAATGACATATATTAAAAAAACTACCAACAACAAATGTTGGAGAGGATGCGGAGAAAAAAGAACTCCTCTACACTGCTGGTGGGAATGCAAACTGGTCCAATCACTATGGAAAGTTCTGTGGAGATTCCTCAAACTACTAAAAATGGAGCTACCATATGGCCCAGTAATTTCACTCCTAGGACTCTACCCAAAGGATGCAAAATCACTAATTCAAAAGGAGATCTGTACCCCTATGTTTATTGCAGCACTACTTTTAATAGGTAAGGTCTGGAAACAACTCAAATGCCCAAAAATAGATGACTAGATCAAGAAGATGTGGTATACTACACAATGGAATACTACTCAGCAATCAAAAAAGATAAACTCATACCATTTGCAGCAACATGGATGGAGCTGGAAGGGATTATACTCAGTGAAATAAGTCAGAAGGAAAAAGAAAAATATTGTATGTTTTCACTTATAGGAGGAATATAGGAAACCAAAATAAGGGATCAGGGAAAAAATAGTAACAATAAAAAAAATTAACAGGCAACTATAAATCAGAGACGTTCTGTCAGGGAGTGGGAGGGAGAGGGATTAAAGCAGGGGAGGGAAGAGCACAAAGGACTACAGCGATGGTGTACAGGTGAATTGGTGGTAGGAACCCTACGGGGACTATACCTGAGGAGAAAGCAAACATTGTACAAAAATGAACAATGATGTAAAATATATATAAATTATAAGTGTTGGTAAGAATAAGTGTTGGTAATTATAAGTATTGGTAAGAATATGGAAAATTGGAACCCTGATGCAATACTAGTTGGAATATAAAATGTTGCAGCTACTTTTGAAAATAGTCCCTCAGTTAAACATAAAGTTACATGATTCAGCAATTTAGTTTCTAGGTATACATCCAAGAGAACTGAAAACATATGTCCACGTAAAAACTGACACACAGATACTCATAGTGACATTATTCATAGCAGCCAAAAAATGGAAGCAACTCATAACTCCACCAACTGATGAAATGTAATGGAATATCACTTAGCAATCAAAAAAGAAATTAAGTACTAATAAATGCCACAACATGGATGAACCACAAAAACATGGTAACTGCAGGAGCCTCCCTGGTGGTGCAAGGGGTTGAGACACAACCTATGAAGCTATCCGCAGCCACTGATGCACAAGTTCCATCCCCAGCCCGGGAGCTACCCACATGGCGAGCAGACCTCTCCTGTCTCGCCCGCTGCTCCCCTCAGCAGTGTATTTCAGTCAGTCTGTCTGTTCTGTTCCCCACTCTGTCTCTGGTGAATCCTCTGTACCCCAGTTCTTATATGCATAAGTAAACAAATCTTTAAAAAATATTTGAAAAATAAAAACAAAACATGGTAACTGCAGAAGTCAATCACAAAGACCACATACTGTATGATTCTGTTTTAAAATGTCAGATTTAAACAATGTTTTCTAAAATCTCAAGTATTATGTTTATAATTAAAATTAAAGCAATGACTTCAGATAAAAAAAGAGTAAGAATCTTTGGAAATTCTAAATTCTGACAATAATATGGATCACAAATTTGGTTTCAAATTGGGCAACAATGAACTTTTCCTCCCCAACTATTTTGACAGTTTTTAACCTACAGAAAAGTTAAAAGAATAGTAATGACACCTCACATTCACAATTGTCAACATCTGCTTTTCTCTCTTTATAATAAACACATCATTTTATTTGGCTAAACACATTTCAATACTACACAGTTATTAATAAAAAGATGAAATAGTGTCCCTTGGAATAAAAGTAATAGACTTTGAGGTGATTACATTAAGTGAAGTAAGTCAGAAAGTGAAAGATGGTTTCCCTCATCTGTGGAATATATATCAGATGGTTTCCCTCATCTGTGGAATATAAATAGCCAAAAAACATACACAGACAATACAACAGGAACAAATCATGCACTGATGAAAGAATTTACTGGTTACCAGAGGGGATGAGGGGAAGGAGGAGTCAAGTGTGACGGTGGGGAGGAGGGAGATGGGGTACTGGCCTGGGTGGTTTGGAGAGGGTGAGTAGAACATGTGATTATACAGAGGAATAAAAATGTAATCTCAAAGTTAAAATTTTAAAAAATTAATTTAAAAATATATTTCAAAGTTAAATTGTAGTATTATGCCATTCATCCAGAAATACCTGCATGGATATATTCTAAGGACAAGGACACCCTCCTACATAATCACACCACCATTACACATTCAAGAACATGACAAAATTCAGTAATACACAATTCTATTCTAATATCTCATATTGTTCCAAAATGTCTTTTACAGATTTTTCAGGATTCAGGACTTTTAGCATATTTACGTCATTTTGCAACCACCATTACTACCAATTTTGGAACACTTTAAACACCCCCAAAATGAAACTTTACATCTGTAAGCAGTCAACTCCTAGTTTTCCCAGCCCTAGGCAACTACTAATTTGTCTATCTCTACAGACTTGTCTATTTTGAATATTTCATATAAATGGAATTACACAATATGTGATCTTTTGTGAATGACTTCTTTATTTAATATAACATTTTCAAGACTCCATGTTATAGCATATATTATTTTTATTTTTATTTTTATTTAAAAGAGGGGCCTACGTTTTGTTTCTTGTTGTTTTTTTTTTTTTTAAAGATTTATTTATTTATACAAGCACTGGGTACAGTCAGAAGCGCGGGAGGGTGAGAGAATTCACCAGAGCCATAGTGGGGAGCAGAGCAGGCAGAAGGACCGAAGTACACTGCTGAGGGGAGCAGCGGGCGGCAGGGGAGGTCTGCGCGCCATGTGGGACCCTCCTCCGGTGGCTGGGGAGCAGCCGGGGATCGAACTGGCACTGCAGAGGCTGCGGGCAGCTTCTCAACCCAGCGCTCAACCGCTATGCCACCGGGGAGGCCCCTATACCATATTTTATTTATTCATCAGTTGATATATTTATTCAATACCTTTAATATGAACAGTAAAGAATATACACATTTGAGAAAATCTTTAATGCAAAAGAAAAGGACAAATTAAACATTTAAAATAAGGAACTCAGAGGGGAAAAGGCAATGCAGGAAGAAGAAAACTTCAGAAATCTTTAACACTCTAAGATAATAGAAGATATATCCATTACACAAAAATGAAAAGTTAATTTAAAGAGAATATTCAGAAAACATAAGGAGGTCTTATAACTTAAAAATATGATAGGGGGCCTCCGTAGTGGCACAAGGGGTTAAGCACCGCACTATGAGGCAATCTGCAGCCTCTGCAGCATGATCCCCGTCTGGCCAGGGAGCAACCCACATGGTGAAGCAGACCTCTCCTGTCTTGCCTGCTGCTTCCCTCAGCAGTGTATTTCAGTCAGTCTGCCTGTTCTGCTCCCCACTCTGTCTCTGGTGAATCCTCTCACACCCCCCGCCCCCGCATCTCTGGCCTGTACCCCAGCTCTTGTATGCACAAATAAACAAATCTTAAAAAAATAAAATAAAAAAATATGATAGGAATTATTTAAAATTCAATACAGGGCCTTCCCAGTAGCGCAGCAGTTGAGTGCTGGGTTGCGAGGCTGCCCGCAGCCTCTGCGGCGCAGGTTCGATCCCCGGCTGCTCCCTGGCCACTGGAGGAGGGTCCCACATGGTGCGCAGACCTCTCCTGCCGCCCGCTGCTCCCCTCAGCAGTGTACTTTGGTCCTTCTGCCTGCTCTGCACCCCGCTCTGGCTCTGGTGAATTCTCTCACCCTCCCGCGCTTCTGACTGTACCCAGTGCATGTATAAACAAACAAATAAATAAATAACATGCCTCTATTAAAAAAATAAATAAATAAAATTCAATACAAATATTGGAAGATAATTTCTCCATAGGTTACAGATATGAGAAATCAGGGAGAAAATATTTTTCTAAGATAGTAAGAAGTTCAATTCAGGGATCCTAACATGCTAATAACATGAGTTGTAGTAACAAAAGCAAGAGAAGTTTTCAAAGAAATATTGTGAAAATAATTCCATGACCTGAAAGACGTGAGCGTCCAGATTAAGTTGAGTAAATTCTAAAACTGTAACGAAAAAATTGCCCACACAATTGCCCATGTATATCTACATGAATTTTCAAAAACTAAGAATAAAGAGAAGATATTCTAGAAAGAAAATCAAGTCATATTGAACACCAACATTGGAAGCTATAAGACAATGAGCATTGCCTTTAAAGCTCTAAAGGCAAATGATTTCTAAAATGCTACAATCAGCCAAACTATCAGTTAGTAGAGAAGGAATCCAACATCTTTTCAAACAACCGGGTGTCATATATTAAAGTCCCTTTCTCATGAAGTTATTATGAGACAAGAAAGGAAAAAGACAATGAATTAGAAAACAGAGGATCTACTATAGAGGAGATGTGAAAGGAATTCCCAGGATGATGGTAATTAAAAATCCAGGAAGAAAGGTGGGCAGCAGAGCTAGAGAGAAATCAGTCCCGAAAGAGGTGGATGACAGGGAAGGGACATCTCCAAAGGAAAACCAAACAAACAGGTTGCCTGATGTGTCAGAATGAGCTGACAGGAGGCCAATAGTAGAGTATGGGTTTGAAAACAGTTGACATGTAGAAAACTAAGAAATGAAAACACGAGTATCACTCCTGCGAAAACAAAAATTTGTATAAGACCAAAAAAAATGCAGTTTATCACATGGCTTAGCTATAAATAATATCAACGTTAATAGTAGATGTTAATCTGATAAATATGACAATTTACCTATATTGGCAAGAATAAGAGGGAAATAAGTATTTGTTTCAAGTGTAGAAGAACTTTAAGAACATTAAATCGGGCCTCCCTGGTGGCGGAGCGGTTGAGCGCTGGGTTGCGAAGCTGCCTGCAGCCTCTGCAGGGCCGGTTCGATCCCCAGCTGCTCCCCAGCCACCGGAGGAGGGGCCCGCATGGCGCGCAGACCTCTCCTGCCGCCCGCTGCTCCCCTCAGCAGTGTACTTGGGTCCTTCTGCCTGCTCTACTCCCTGCTCTGGCTCTGGTGAATTCTCTCACCCTCCCGCGCTTCTGACTGTACCCAGTGCTTGTATAAAAATAAATAAATAAATAAATACATAAAAGAATATTAAATCATGTTTTCCACAGAAAGAAGTCAGAAGATAATAAGCAAAATAAGAGAATAATATATGCATGTAATAAAAATATAATGATAATTACCAGAAAGAAATGAAATTGGTTTCCTCTGAGAAGAAAGAACAATTAGAAGTAGATGGGAAGTAAGGCAGGGAACTACTTACTATTTCTTAAAAGTTCTGTAACACTTTGGTTGTTTTTTTTTTTAAGATTTATTTATTTATGCACACAAGAACTGGGGTACACACCAGAGGTGAGGGAGTGGTGAGAAGATTCACCAGAGACAGTGAGGAACAGAACAGGCAGATTGACTGAAACACACTGCTGAAGAGAGCAGCGGGCCAGAAGGAGAGGTCTGCCGCACCATGTGGGTCTCCTCTCTGGCTGGGGATTGAACTCATGCTGTAGTGGCTATAGATAGCTTCATAGTGCTGCGTCTGAACCCTCTGTGCCACCAGGGAGGCCCTAAACACGTTTGTTTTAAATTATGCATCTGTATTCATGATTAAAAAATCACATTTTCTGAAATATCTAACATATCGTATATGCTCAAAAAAATTGGAACAGGGTCTCTTACCCTTTTATTTATTTTTTATTATAAATTTTAAATTTTTTTATTTTTTACATCATTGTTCATTTTTAAACAATATTTGCTTCCCCCCACCCCCTCAAGTATAGTCCCCATAGAATTTCCTTCACCAATGCACCCGTGCACCATCACCTCAGTCCCCTGTCCTCCCTCTGACCCCTCTCCTGCCTCCTCCCTTGCAGTATGTCTCTGCTTTATAATTGTCTGTTTTTGCTTTGTTGTGTTTTATACTGTTATTACTTTTTTTTACACTGATGTCTTATTTGGTTTCTCTATATTCCTGCTAAAAGTGAAACCATTCGATATTTTTCTTTTTCCTTCTGGTTTATTTCACTGAGCATAATTCCTTCCAGCTTTTACCCTTTTATTTGAATGGTATCTACATTATTATAGACTGAGTAGTTAATCAAACAATGAGTCTGTTTTAAGGCATTGTCACCCAATACTTATACATATCTCATGTTTGAGGACTAGAGTTTTCAAAACAATTATACTTCACAAGCAATTGACTCTTCCATTCTTCAACTACTCTGACAAGAAGTACCTGGCCATCAGTAAGATTCTCAGCATCCCAGTTGCTGCAACGAAGTAGAAGGGACTTGTCAAGGGGAAAGTTCAAAACAGTCTCAGCAAGTGATTTCAGGCTAAGTCCATTACAGAGCAAATTGTTTCTATAAGAAGTAAATAAAATCACATATTAAAAATGGACAAAAGAAAATGATAGAAAAATCAAAAAGACATAAATGGCTAATGAAAATATGACAGATCTCATTAGAAATCAAATCAAATACAAATTATATACAATTTTCATATCTATCAGATTTCACATATAAAAAACTATATCTAATATTGGGAAGAATAAGCTTGAAGAATCAGTCTAATACAAAATTCATGAACCTTTTTTACAAACTTTATGAAAAGGTTTAAGAGAAAAAGAAAAAAAAACAGTTAAATAATAGTTATCAAGATTTTTGAATATGAAAATTCTCTAAATCAGCAATTTTACTTTAAGGAATTTATCCTAAGGATAAATATACATAAAATTTCAGTATTTTAGTGCAGTACTATTTATAGTAACAAAGAATTGGAAACAACCTAAATGCCCAGCAATAGAAAAATGGTTAAACATTCATTTAAAATAAGAATGTGGATCTATACTGAGATGACATTATGCCCTTGACATATTAAGTAAAGAGAGATTGTGAAAGAAATCATATAATATGATCCCTTTTTGTTAAATATATATACTACATAACAAATGTATGTATGTGATTCTAGGTGTATAGAGAGAGGAAACACAGAGATAACTAGAAATATATTGATCAAATTTTCATGATGCTATCTCTGTAGGATTTGGGGAGGTTACAGATCTTTATATCTTTCTATATTTGAATTGGTTAATATTCATGTATTACTCTTCAAATTTGTAAAAAGATAAGACTATTTTCATTCATGGGTGAAGACGTAATAAAACCAAACAATACCCTATTTTTTCTGCTCTTCACTTTCTGATTAAAATAGCTGCAGGTTGGTGAAAAAAATGAATTTGTCCGAGGACTAGAGACTTCAACCAAGAGATATATGTGAAATTAAGAATCGATCTACAAAATTGGAGTTGACTTCTTGGATGCCAAGTGAGAGACGAAAGTTTTAAACTGGGACGCTTGCAGGTGGAGGTTCATGCCAGTGTTACAACATGCAGGATTTCCTCAGGTACTGCAGAAAATAGAATCATTATGATGATGAAGAAAAGGAGGTCTTTCCTTACAAAAACAAGCTGTACATTGGTGGATTCCACCACCCCCAAAAGGTAGCACTGATTAAAAAAAAGTAAACACAGATCCAAATATACTTAGATAAAATACATAAAATCTTGGTTCAATTATGTAAAAAATTTATAAAATAAAAAAATAAACACAGAGCAGTTGGTTTTGCAACTCCACAACTGTAAGTTAATTTTTTTTTCCTAAAAGGATTTTGCTAGTATGAGAAGTAATGGAAAGAAGGAAGGAAAAAGGAGAAGGGACTTTGTGTTACATCCTTTTCTTTTTTTTTTTTTTAATTTTTTTTTTTTTTTTTTATATAGAGGCATGTTTTATTTATTTATTTGTTTGTTTGTTTGTTTTGTTTATACATGCACTGGGTACAGTCAGAGCGCGGGAGGGTGAGAGAACTCACCAGAGCCAGAGCGGGGAGCAGAGCAGGCAGAAGGACCGAAGTACACTGCTGAGGGGAGCAGCGGGCGGCAGGAGAGGTCTGCGCGCCATGTGGGACCCTCCTCCGGTGGCCGGGAGCAGCCGGGGATCGAACTGGCGCCGCAGAGGCTGCGGGCAGCTTCGCAACCCAGCGCTCAACCGCTGCGCCACCGGGGAGGCCCAGTGTTACATCCTTTTCAATCTTCTCTTGCTGTGGCTCTTTCAGGAGTTATATGAACAAGATTTACTAACGCTGAAATTCATCATTTTTGATCTACCAATTACAAATGCTGCTAAATTAAAAAAAATGTTGGTTCAATTAGTGGAAATTAAGGATTTGAGGGAAACATAAAAATTGCTTTATTAAAATTTATAAAAATGGAATGGATGTTAATTAAATTTACTGTGAAAATAATTTTGCAATACATATCTACAGATAGATTGATAGTTATAAAATCACTATGTTGTACACCTAAGACTAATATAATGTTATATGTCACTTATATCTAAAAAAATAAAAGGTAATGAATGCTTATTATTAAGAAGCCAGACAAGGAAGCATAGTAGTAAAAGTCTTCTTTCTCACAGTCCTACCTATTCCTCAATAAAAATGACTGATAAGAATATGTTCTGGCTCCCTCTAGAACTTTTCTATGTATAAATAAACAGAAGGTTAGATGGAAGAATAAATATAGTTTCTTGATATTTGTTTTTTTCCCCCCCAGAAATCATGCAACCTTAATTTTTTTCTCCAAGTATATTTTGGATAGAAATAATCTGCTTACATCCCTATCTTACCTATTAGATTAAAGCTTCACAATCTTTTGTTGTACAAGAGTCAGTGGGATACTTTTAAGAGTACAATCTCCTAGAAATTGTACTTACTTTGAAGATAAGCCTGGGGTATGGCCTTGGAATCTGCATTTTAATAAGCAGATTAGGGGGCTCTGACACAGGCTCTGAGGATCACACTTTAGAGAGATTACACTGGAGAGAGTAACTTGGGCCATTTTCGGTTCACCCTATACTTCCAGTGCCCAGATATGTTAGGCAGTGATCTAGTTTGTTTTTACTGAGGTGGCACTGGCTTACCACACTGCATATGATTTAGGGGCATAGAGTCACACCTCTTCAGATCTTTGTCACCACTCATGCCCACTTCCAAAGCATCCATAACTTTTATTTTGCTTTTTATTATGCAACTTGCTTTTCAGTTAATGTATCACCGACTTCTTCCATTGACACTAAGTACTTATTTCACACTTTTTAACAGCTATGTAACTTTCCAATTATGTAATTTTTCATAATTCTTGAAAAAAATAACTATCAGCAATGAAGGGTAGCACTTAACTTTAGTTATTTTATTCCATTTAGGTCATTCTCTTAATGTTATTATTTGGGAAGGCTTCATACTTCCTGGGGATGAATTAAAGACAAAATGCTACCTTTACCACTTCAAAGTTTCACAAAGAGAAATTCCTAGACCAGACCATGTACAACAATCTCAAAAATAAAATCACTTTCAGTTAACATACAATAAAAAATATAGAGTAAGACGAGAAGAACACAGCATTACCCCCTCCAAAAGTGCTCTTATCCAAAGGCAACTGCCAGTAACAACTACATATAGCTAATGTCAGAAGAAACCGATAGCTCATAATGCTAAGTATAATTCTTGTATTATAATATCAAATTTCTTGTAGCATAATGTCCAAAATGTAATTTTAGTACTAAAGTGTATAATAATAAGTTATTATTAAAATTTTAATAAAATTTTGTTAAAAAATAAAGGCCTTATAACCCTTCACTCTTATTCCTAGAGAAGTTTACAGTAATATTCAGCTTTGGCCAAATTTTATATTGACACTTGGAGACTCTGCATTTAGCCAAACAAATTTGGTTCACCTCTCATTTGTATATACTCATAGAGAGGACTGTAACTGCAGAGTAAGAGATCTGTAAGGAAAACTAATCAGATGATGATGGTGCTAATGGTAGTAGTTAAGATGATGATGTTAATTGTTAAAATTTACACAGCACTTTCTAAATATATGTCAAACATCATTAATAATTTTTTAACATATTTTAACCCATTTAATTCTCACACCATCTTATGACATGGGAACACAATTGTCTTCACTTTACAGAGGAAGGAATTAAGGAATAGTGAGGTTCAGTAACTTCAGACATTCTCATAGCTGGTAGGAGGCAGCACTGGAACTCCCACCCAGACTGTCTGCTGCAGAGTCACCTTCAACACTACATATGACACCTCTAACAGCACAGAATAATGGGGAAGGTAAGTCTGGGAAAGGTGTCATTTGCTGTTATACTCCACATACTTTCCTAGAGTTTTAATTTTTTTTTAATTTATTTATTTATGCATACAGGGGCTGGGGTACAAGCCAGAGATGCGGGGGGTGAGAGGATCCACCAGAGACAGAGTGGGGAAGAGAACAGGCAGATTGACTGAAATACACTGCCGAGGGAACAGCGGGCGAGACAGGAGAGGTCTGCCTCGCCATGTGGGTTTCTCCCTGGCTGGCCAGGGATAGAACTTGTGCTGCAGAGGCTGCGGATTGCTTCACAGTGTGGTGCTTAACCCGTTGCGCCACCAGGGAGGCCCTAGAGTTTTAATTTTTTTATAGTAAATATTTTAAAGTTTTACTTGAAAAAAATGATACTTCACTTATAAAAGTTTTATTTATATAAGCAATATTACTAACTAAAATTTCATTTTGTACTAAAAAATTATGATAGGCATAGATTTTAATCACACCTTTCTTTACTTTGTCAAATTTCTACACATTTAACATCAGTGTTATTTGGGACAAGAAAAGAGACTATTTCAGTGCATGTTATTAAAAGGAAAATGCACTTAAGAAGGCAATTTAGATTTCATAAAAAAGTTAAAATAAATTTCCATAAAATAGAATTCCAAGGGAAAGGGAAATCTCTCTTCCTCCCAGTCAGCGACTAGGTCTACCATCATTTTTGGCCTAAAGCAGGGTATACAAACTCAAATGCTTATCAGAATGAGTGTGGGTTGCAATGGGAGTGGTGTGGACTCTGACTAATTGAATTAATAAGCCTGCTCATCCAGAGGACAACAACTGGCTGGGTAGCGAGAGACTCATCTTTAGAGCATACTTATTAATTCAATTTGTTTAACTGTAGCTAACTAGATTGTCTAATTTTTTTAAGAGAAGCTAGAAATACAGATTTGTTTTCTTTTTCTTAAATTTTAATTTTAGGTATTACAAGAATACAGACTGTTACAATTAATCTGATGTATTTAAACTAAGATTTCCCTAAAACATCATATGGGGAAGAAAACAAATCCCCTGAAACACTTGTGGCCCTAATTTAGTCAGCAGCGCCCATCATTTTACAACCCTTACCTGAGAGACACACCTTACTCAAGTTTCATCTAGAAAGACCAATTTAAAGTAACTAGTTTTCTCAGAAATTGGAATACTTTCTCACAAATTCAATATGCATATTAAAATCTTCAGGATTCTATAGGATTTTAGATGGTTCATTACTGATTTTCATCAATCTACAAATCTCACTAAAATATTTGCCTCACAGCTACAGGAAGCCTAGCATTCACAGAAAACATACCTCTGCCTCATGGCTAAATAACGAAGGTCCAGGTATCCCCTAACAACGAGGCCATAATCCTGCAGAAGCTTGCTGGCATCTTCTGAACATCCTACTCCAACTTTTAAAACAGTGCCATCTGCCAAAATGTCCAATAATGTTTTTGGTAGTGTTTTTCCTCCGCAGGTCAGCTTGGGCAAGCGAACCAAGACACAGAAGCCACTTGGAGAAGCTACTTGTAGGAGTGACAGAGGACTGGCTTTGCCTTCCAAATTCACCTGCAACAGAAAAACAAGGCCATGGTTCATCCACAAGCATAGCACCAAGTGCACCATGAAACTGTAGTAAAAAGGTATGGGGCCTCCCCTGGTGGCACAGGTGGTTGGGTGCAGCCCTGTGAAGCTGTCCGCAGCCTCTACAGCGCCGGTTTGATACCGGCCGGCCAGCGAAAATCCCACATGGAGCAGCAGACCTCTCCTGTCACGCCCGCTGCTCCCCTCAGCAGTGTATTTCCTCAGTCTGACTGTACTGTTCCCTGCTGTCGCTGGCGAATCCTCTCACCCTCCCACGCATCTGGCCTGTACTCCGGTTCTTGTATAAATAAATAAAAATCTTAAAAAAAAAAAGGTATAAGAGGCACATTCTTAACTTCTAAAGAGAGCAATTGACCAGTTTTTGATTCATATCTAAGGATAAGCCTATGATAACAAATGCAATGCAAACTGTGAAGCAGCAGCCCAACAAAGGGCCAAATTCCAGGATCTGAAATAAACAGTTCATAAACAGGGTCCAGCAGACACTATGGATCTTTGGGACATACATTAGCAGAGTCAAATTAAGTATACTCTTTTAAAAGGCTAAGGTGGCAAGAAAGAGTCAGGATCTGAGTGCCAATGATAAACATACACTTTTCACTATCTAGATTCCCAAATGAACATGCTAGTAACTAACTCATTTATCATATCCTCACTTTCTCAAGATCCAATTTTTTGAGAGTTAAGAAATAACAGTGCTATAAATGTTACCTACTAATATAACAAATCCTAGCAGTACAAAGTACTTTCTTAGCATTTTATGGTCATAAATATTGTTCATAAAAGAAAAATGTACATTGATCATAAGTTAAGATCCTTAAGAAATGAAAATAACTATATATTAAATGATCTAGTTCTTAAATTTTGAGGTCATAGGTAACTTGGAGAAAATGCTTAAAGTTAAGGAAGTTATCCCAGAAAAATTTATATACAAAATTCACATTAATTAGATCTCCCTGGTGGCACAAGGGGTTAAGCACTGCACTGTGAGGCAATCTGCAGCCTCTGCAGCACGAGTTCGATCCCCGGCCGCCCAGGGAGAAATCACATGGTGAAGCAGACCTCTCCTGTCTCGCCCACTGCTCCCCTCAGTGTATTTCAGTCAGTCTGCCTGTTCTGTTCCCCACTCTGTCTCTGGTGAGTCCTCTCACCCCCCCCCCACATCTCTGGCCTGTACCCCAGCTCTTGTATGCATAAATAAATAAATCTTAAAAAAAATTCATATTAATTAAAGATTCCCTAAAGCTGTTCATGGGACAAAGGTTATTCAATAAATGCAATCCTTCTCACTTTTCAGAAGAGAAAACATTAAGGCCTATTGGTGAAGTAGTTTGCTTAAATAATGAGAGATAATGGCAAAGTCAGATCTAGAACCTAAATCTCCCACTCTCAAGAAAAATAATTCTCAACCAAGATAAATTTTGTTCTCCCTCCACCTTCCCTCACCCCTCCATTCCATGGAACATTTGGCAATGTCTGGAGAAATTTCTGGCTGTCACAACTTGAAGGTGCGTAGTATACCCTGGTATCTAGTAGGTACAGACCAGAGGCTGCTAAACATCCTACAATGTCCAGGATAGTTCCTCACTGCCCCAAATGTTAACTAACAATGGGGAACCCAGATCTAGGCAGTTGGGTTCTCTGTCACATTATCAGTGTGCTAGATCTTTGACCAGGTGCCGCTGTGTATGCAAAATTATGTAAGGGATGAAACCTATCTTAAGGATTACCACCACATAGGAGTATCATGCACATACGCTCACACCACAGGAATTAAGTGGTAAATACCAAAGTAGAGAGATATTTCAGAGCTGGTGTAACCAAAATCACAAATAGGAAATAGTCAAGATCATAAAGAATACCTATTGAAAACCAAAATTTGGGAGGGGCTTTACCTTCAACTTCTGTATCAATGCTAAATCAAGTTTCAACTCACAAAAGCCTTAGGATTTGATTTCCCTTCTCAGGCACTACTTTATCAATGCTATTTCCATATCCTCAAATGAAAGCATGTCAGTGTCACCTCTAACGTGTCTATTTCTTGGGGCTCAGCCAAGATGAAATAGACCTTTGACTTGGGTGCCTAGTCTATAACATTTAATCAAGATGAGGTCAAATCAAGATGAGTAATTTCCTACCTCTATAATGCCAAATATGTCCAAGAAGAAGCTATAAATCTCTACTAACACATAGTACTGCTAATTTGACATAAGACTCACTGCAAATTCCTAAGGCTAGATCTTTGCACATCTTTTAGTCAGGTTGCTGACTAAAATACATTAAATACATAGGCAGATATATAAGTTGTCATTTTAATACTGTTAGTGAATTGTGCTTAAGATTCAAATGTATTATAATGACAGCTTCCCCACTAGGAATCCAAATGTTTATGATTTATACTGGATATAGATCTGGAAGCATAACTATTCTAGCAGAGTCAATTTGGCTTAAAGAATAAGATTATCTAGTCTTTACTTCTCATATATTCCCCTTTTGCTTTCTAATAATTTTTTGGTCTTAATTATCACTTATTACTCATAGTAAACTATGAAACCCTTGGCTTTCCAATGTTTTATTTAATAAAGAAAAAAATGAACCATTTAAATTTCATTAATATTTAATCCAGTAAATTCTGATTTTTCTTGATTAGTTAATTCATATAAAGAGTCATATATTATATACATATGTATTTATAACTATATACATGTAGACTAAACTTTGTTATACACATAATTAAATATACACGAAAGTAAACATTTCTAATGAATGGTGCCACAATCATTACAGTCAAGCAGATGCAGCCTCTGCCAGATCGCTAGCATAGCACAGTCAAGTCAACCCCTTGCATTCTTCAACACTGCTGCCAAAGGTGGGTCCGTGGGCCAGGTCTCGTCTGAGCTGTTTCTAGTGTTCCAAGACAGCAGAAAAGGTCTGTGCTCTGAGCACTGGGGAGAGGGCATTTTGTTATAAAAGTTCCTGCTTTCGGGCCTCCCCGGTGGCACAGCGGATTGAGCGCAGCGCTATGAAGCTGGCCACAACCTCTGCAGCGTGGGTTCGATTCCCGGCCAGCCAGGGAGATACCCACATAGCAGGGCCGACCTCTCCTACCTCGCCTGCTGCTCCCCTCAGCAGTGTCTTTGTCGGTCTACCTGTTCTGCTCCCTGCTCTGTCTCTAGTGAATTCTCTTACCTTCTTGCACCTCTGGCCTGTACCCTGGCTCTTGTATGAATAAATAAATCTTTTAAAAAAATTAAAAAATAAAAGTTCTTGCTTTCACAAATTATGACAGAATTTGTGTTGGGTGATGACTTCACATGCCATACTAGCATAAGTGACAGGTGCACCTGTGGGGAAAAATCTGATGATGAGAATTTCATCCTAGGGAATAAAGGTCCCAGTATCTTGCCTATGATAAATTCTGGGCCCAACACAAATGGTTCCTAGTTTTTCATCTACACTGCCAAGACAGAATGGTTGGATGGAAAGTATGTGGTCTGTCCAAAGTGTAGGGTAGCATGAATACTGTGGAAGCCATGGAGCTCTTTGGGTCCCAGAATGGCAAGATGAGCAAGAAGATCACCATTGCTGTCTGTGAACAAATCTAATAAATTTGATTTGTGTTTTATCTTAGCCACCAGAATATTCCTTCTGTATCTCAAGAAAGGAACCTTTCAACCTCATTTGCCTGAAACATTTTATAATCTTTATGATCTCTCTACAGTTCTTTGGGGTCTATGGTTTTTTTTTTATCCTCTTCCAAGTCTAGCTAGATTATAAAGTTAAGTATATGCTTACAAAATAAAAAAAAAATTGATAGACAAAATTTCTAACACCTTTTTTTTCTGTATTTCAGGGATTTACTTAGAGAGCATAGGTTTAGAAATCTTCCTTCCTCCCTAAGGACTAGTGGACAATCCATTTAGTTTCAGGATTCTTAAAAGTCCATAACTAATAAAACTTGATGCCAAGGTCCATGACTCCTCAACTGACCCCACGCAGGCAGCAGAGAATAAAAAATGATTTGGTTTCATCGGGGCTGAAATAGGTTAACTAATGTGCATCCCTACTCTGGAGTTAACATATCAATTAAATTTGGGCCATGGCGTTGAGACAGGAACGAGCTTGCCCTAGTCAAGTGACAGAATAAAGGCCCAATGTGGTTGGATGTTAATAAAAGAAGGATGGGAAGACTACAGAAGGAGACAGAATCAGCTAGGTGAAGAAAGTCCAAAGCATGTGAGTCCTTAAGAACATGTAGGTAACTAAGACATCTGAATTTTATTTAAAGCAGTAGAAAGATTTTAAGTAGAGTACTGACATGATCTGATTTGCATTTTTAAAAGATCACTTTAATTAATGTATAGAGAAGGAATTGCAGATACACAAGAATCCAAGCAAGGAAGAGGGTCAAGAGAAATTGCAAAGGTCTAAATGAGAGATGCTGAATATTCCCTATTTGCACTAGGGAGGAAGTAAAGGAAATGCAGAGAATGTAAACTCTACTTTAGAGAGAGCACTGTTGATACTTCCTAATGGGAAGGGAGAAGTTAATAGTAAGAAAAGGGAGTAGACCTCAAGCAAACAGGCAAAGCTAAATTATGGTGCTTAGGTATGCATATTTAAGTAGTAAGAGTATAAAGAAAAACAAGAAAGTGAGTGTCATGAAATCAGGATAATGATAACCTTAGGAGAGGAAAATGTAAGGCGACACAAGGGGCGCATCTGAGCACTAGCAGTCTCCTGTTTCTTGACCTAGTTTCTAGTTTCTCTGCTGTTCATTTGGCTATTTATTTTGTTTCTGGAACTAGGTTTAAAAAATACTCAAAAAACAAGTTTAATAACAGATTGGATAAAACTAAAGGAAAAAAAAGTATAAAAGAGACCTGAAGAAATTATACAGAATGAATCCAGAGAGACTAATATGTGTTAAATATAAAAGACACTATCAGACACATAGAATAGCATAAAAAATCAAGAATATAGCGATGGAATTCCAGCAAGAAAGGAGGTAGGGGAGCAACGGAGGAGTTAGAGGAGGAAGAAAAGGAGACTAGGGTAAGGTAATCTTCAAAAAGAACTTAAAAACTGGTAAAAGAGGGCCTCCCCGGTAGCACAGCGGTTGAACGCTGGGTTGCAAAGCCACCCGCAGCCTCTGCAGCACCGGTTTGATCCCCGGCTGCTCCCCGGCCACCAGAGGAGGGTCCCACATGGCGCGCAGACCTCGCCTGCCGCCCGCTGCTCCCCTCAGCAGTGTACTTCGGTCCTTCTGCCTGCTCTGCTCCCCGCTCTGGCTCTGGTGAATTCTCTCATCCTCCCGCGCTTCTGACTGTACCCAGTGTTTGTATAAATAAATTAAAACAAAAAACAAAACAAAACAAAAAAAAAAACTGGTAAAAGATACTAATTCTCATATCCAGATCTCTTGCTGATACTGAAAGTGGAAATACAGTAGAAAACAAACTCTAACTTCATCACAGTGAATCTTTAGAATCACAAAGTCAGAAAGAAGATATTAAAAGTAAAAGTTATTACAAAATATTAGATTACCTACAAAGAAGCAACACTTAAACTGACAGTTATCTTGAACAGGAACAATGATGAAAGTCAGAAGACAATGGAATACAATCTTGAAAATGATGATAAATTCTGAAACTAGAATTCTGTACACAGTGGAAATACCTTTCAAGATGAAGGGCAAAATAAAGACTTTCAAAACATTAACAGTTTATTATCGATGAGTCCTCAAGTAATAATCTTCTAAAGAATGACTGTTAAGGAGAAACATCCCCAAAAAGTCTGAGATAGGAGGAATGATAAGCAAAGAAAAAGGTAAACATTTTGGTAAACCTAAATAAATGCTGGCTGTATGAACAAGGACATGAACAACAATAACTAAAAACACTCAAAAGTGAATGAAAGAGAAAGGGAAACAGAAATGAAAGAATGCAGAGATAAAGGATGGATGACTTTTCATCAAGTTTTACCGTGGCAGCAGAGAAATGTAATCACACCAGAAGGAAGATGTGGCATCTATTGCGAGTTCAATATATATCAAAAGTCAAAATGGGGCCTCCCTGGTGGCTCAAGGAGTTAAGTTTCAGCACTATCAAGCCATTGGCAGCCACTGCAGCACCATTTTGATCTTCCCCATACCTCCCCCGCACCCCCCTGCACCCCACCCTTGTCTGACCCCCCAGGGAGCTGAACCACATGGTGCAGCAGACCTCTCCTGTCTCTCCAGCTGCTCCCCTCAGCAGTGTATTTCAGTTAGTCTGCCTGTTCTGCTCCCCACTCTGTCTCTGGTGAATCCTCTCACCCCCACAGCTCTGACCTGTACCCCAGCTCTTGTATGCATAAATAAATACATCTTTTTAAAATTGTGCTTTAGTTTTTATTGGGGTTATCTATTTGAATCTTTACATACAAGTCACCAAGACTTAGGAAGATTAAGTAGCTGGTCTAAGATCACAGAAAAATAAGTAGTGAAAATGGAACTCATACTGGTCTAATCTCCAGAATCCATGACTGTAAGTACTCTCCTATCCTGAGACAAGAAACAGTTTCTCCTGCTAAAATCTGCTTATATAAGCAAGTTGAGAACAAGCCAATTCCCCTTTAATTTTATTCTCTACTTGACTATTTCAAGGTCTACTTGGAAAAACAGAAAAGATTTTTCTTTTAAATTTCTGTGTTATAACTTACCCATTCACAGTCCATTCCAAGTACTGGAAAATCTTCTAGCTCACTCCTAAGCAAGGGCTCAATTTGATTCCACTCTGCCTCCTGAGACACAGTCACCACCTTTGCTTCCAGGATCCTCTGTTTCCATGAGGCTCTGGGGGCACCAGCGTGCAGCTGGTCCTCTTCTGGAGCGGGCAGCTCTCTCCTGCCTGGCGCTTTCCATTGCTGCTGAGTAACATGGCTTGTTTTACTCCTCCTCCGGCGCTGGATGCCTTTCCACAGGACAAAACCCCCCACAACCACGCCAAGAAGGGTGGTCACTGTCAAAGCCACTAAGTGCTGTCTAAACATCTTCAATTCTTCTGCTAGTTAGGAAAGCACATCACTAACTCCACAATCTGCAAAACAAATGACAAAATGTATTTATGCATAGAATATAAACCTTCATGAAAACAAGTTTCCCCCCTAAAAAGTGATCTATTTATTATAATCCATGAGCCCAAAAACTTTAAAAATGGTTACATATTTCCACATGAAACTGATAATTTTTTTCATTTTTCTACATTCTGTACTCCAGCTCTATCTCCAGCTGTCCAGGGCTTCCTTACTCATATAAAATCATATATATCAAAATAGTAAGTCAGACTCTTGCTAACATATTAGTGAGTAAATTTTAGTTAGCAGATCTCCTTCAGGGGGTTTGCACTTTCAACCTTCAATCTCTAAAAATGGAATGAAAACTTCGGCTTTTTCAATAAAATTCTAGTCATTGTCAAGTTGGTGGTAGCTAATTTTACTTTTCTGGAAAGTGTGGGTAGTAAGGACTGGAGCAAACAAATTCATTAAACATGGGTTTTCTGTTGCTCCAGAACGCTCAGCAGTCTTCCATGGGAAGTTATGAGCATAAATTAGGGCAGTACAGAAGGGAAAAAAGGACTAGAAGAGAAAAAGAAAAAAGACTTAGAGAGCAATCCATGATGCTCAGAGGAGGCTTCAAATGGAAATGTCCTCAAGATAAAGGCAGAATAACATAAATAAGTGAAACAAGTCATGGGCAAAAAAACTGACACAGAGGCTCTATTAATTATGTAAGAAATATCTTCATTTCTATCACAGTCTCTCCATTTTTCTAAAATGTGCTTTTCTCCATCTATTTTTGGCTTTCCTATTTTTGACAGACAGACGGATATAGGCTACTATTTCCATACTATTTTAAAAATAACAGTAAACATGTAACAATAAATGGCAAGTGGCCTTTGGCCTGAGTGACAGGGAGAGAACACGTGGCAACAGCCATTCAGCAGAAGCTAACTGATGCAGGGCAGGAAGAAGGCCCAGAGAGGCCAGTTAACTTGACCATTCAAATGAAGTTAGATATCTGGATTTTATGTGAAACGTCACCATTTTTAAATGTTAGCAACATATTTACAGTTTTTAAACCAATGTGCCAGCTAAACAAAGACTGGGCTACACATCCGTGGGCTCAGGTCTGAAATCTATACTGTCCCAAAGACACAGTGACCTGCCAGACCACCTCCACTTCTCCATGGCAGCGGTTTCCCCTGGATCTGTACTGCTTTTAATCTCTTTTTAAAAATGTTAAAGACATAATTTTAAAAATAATTAAAAATTTACTGGTCTATAATCAGTTTATGGAGATATCTGGCTATTGGAGAGGAAAATTAGGAAAATTAGCATTGCAACAATTTTTACAATACTAATGAAAATGATAAAATGACTATGCTGTTTTGAAAACATTTACTTTATTACAGAAACTGTGTAAGTACTTGTATATGCTTTCTCCAGTACTTTTACTGAAAAGACAATGAGGCTTAATGAGATTAAATAACTTGTGAAGAATGAATTCTAGTTAAAATAATCTAAGAAGATACAAAAATCTCTAGAGTCAAAAGCTTAGTTCAAATCCAGTCTCAGGCCTCCCTGGTGGCGCTAGGGGTTAGGACGCAGCATAGAAAGCTAACCGCAGTCACTGCAGCACGAGTTCGATCCCTGGCCAGGGAGCAACCCACATGGCGCAGCAGACCTCGTCTGACTCGCCGGTTGCTCCCCTCAGCAGTGTATTTCAGTCAATCTGCCTGCTCTGTTCCCCACTCTGTCTCTGGTGAATCCTCTCACCCCCCACCTTCGCACCTCTGGCCTGTACCCCAACTCCTGCATGCGTAAAAATAAAGTAAATCTTAAACCAACAACAACAAAAACAAATCCATTCTCTGCCACTCGATATATTAACATGGGCAATTTAAGTAATACAAATGCTAGAGAAAACATTAAAAAGGTAAAATCTTAACACACAGTTAAACTTAAAAAGAGGAGAAGGAAACCATCAGATACTAGAAATGGAAAAGAGGAACCCACAGTGGGTGGGAGAAAAAGCTGGGCAAAACCAGAACTCATGCCAGCCCCAGTGCTGGGGTATTGCTAACACAGGGAAAGAAGTCTAGGCCACAGCTGGACCCCAGGAGAATGCAGCCTTAGAAATTAACAGAGACCTGAGAGTAGGAGGCCAGGGCCTGCCACCTGCCCAAGACTGAGTGTGAGAAAGGTATTCCTCATGAGAGAGCAGACACTCAGCCTGTACTCTGCCTAGCACAGGGCCAGGTCCACATTATTGTCACAAAAGGAAACCCTAAACCAAAAAACTAAAACTAAAATGGTTAGAACTGTTGAATTCTGTTGGAACCAGGCAGAGTCAATCATAAAATTATTTACATATATATACACACATACATGTATATATATACATATACATACATACCCACACTTACATATATGTGTGGGTAATATAAACACATATATAAAATTCATATACACACACATGTACATAGAGTTGAGTCTTGAACAACATGGGTTTGAACTGCAAGGATGCACTTATATATACATGATTTTTTCCTATCTGTGGGTTCTGAATTCACAGATTCAACTAGTCAGTGACTGAATCCCTATATATGAAGGGCAGACTGTAAGGTAGATTTATTTTAACATGCTTGTTATTTTTTTCACAATATAGGATTTACTCCTCAGGTGGGTCACATAGTTCTACTACCACATAAGGTGGATTTTTAATGGCATAAGGAAAGAGCACCCGTAACCTGAGTGGTTTATACACACAAACACCCTCGAGCACACATACTCCATGCAGGAAACATGCACAACTTCCAAAGGCGATCAGTCCCTAGAAAATCAAGAAATCTGAGCAACAAAACAAAAAACCGTAAAGCTAACAAGGTGGCGCAAGGGGTTAAGCACAGCACTGTGAAGCTATCTGCAGCCACTGCAACGTGAGTTCCATCTCCAGAGGCCAGGGAGGTGACCCATATGGTGCAGCAGACCTCTCCTGTCTTGCCAGCTGCTCCCCTCAGCCATGTATTTCAGTCAATCTGCCTGTTCTGTTCCCCACTCTGTCTCTGGTGAATCCTCTCACCCCCCGCCCCACCTCTGGCCATACCACAGTTCTTGTATGCATAAATAAATATTTTTAAAAAAGGACTATTCTGGAAAATAAAATCGAAAATTTGAACAAGGGACAAAAAAAGTAGAAATTCTCAATTGGAAAATATTTTTTAAAATGTTAAAACTCAATACTCCATAGACAGGTTATTAAACAGTAGATCAGACAGAGGTGACAAGAATTTACAAAACTGAAGATAATCTGAGGAAATCTCCCAGAGCACAGTATAAAGAGGCAGAAAACAAAACAACAGAGACATGGAAGATGAATTGAGGAACTCAGTATTTTCATAATGAAGATCTGGAAGATGGAGACCAGTTATGGTACAATTTTCTAAATCCCAAGTTGGGTAAATTAAACCAATCCCATCTTAATTAACATTAAACTGAGTGAAAAAAGCCAGATACAAAAAAAGATACTGTATAGTTCTATTTACATAAATTTCTAGAATAGCTATAAACTAATCCATGGTAGAAAAAATCTGAACAGTATTTGGCTTTGGGGAGTGAGGAGCAGGGAAGAGACATTTAAGCTGAACTCGAAATTACACACAAAGAGGTCAGTTATGCCAAATTCTACAGAAGAACATTTCAAACCTGAAGGACTTTCTGGAGTTGCAGTAAAGTTACATGTGTTAATGAGGGCTGGCTTTACACATGTGTATTCATTTCAGGGATAGCAGTGATTTTTCTCCTGTTGGCCTGACTGATGAGTGAATAACTATTGGTTCATTCATTAGCTGTCTTTCCCACTAGAATGGAGAACAGGGCCTTTAACTGGCTTCTTCATCAAATACCCAACAACTACCATAGAGTTGATAACAGTCAACAGATATTAATTGAATGAATAAAACTGAATTCAAGGTATTATATATGTTAACATTTTTATGATGTCTTTAATTCAATCATCAAATTACAAAAATTTGCTTATTCATTGAAAAAAAACAAACAACAATTCCCCTTATTGTGCTTTAACACTGTAAAGCAGCAATATGATTCAGTACTGAGCTAGGAGAAAAATAAAATCTTGTTATAGACCAAACATCTGTGTCACTATGTTGTAATCCTGTCCCCTAGTGTGATAGTATTAGGAGGTGGGACCTCTGGAAGGTCATTATAATTAGATGGGGTCATGAGGGTGAAGCCCTCATGAATGGGATCAGTACACTTACATGAGAGAGAGCTTGCTTCTCTCTGATCTCTACCACCTAAGGATAAAATAGAATATCAGCGGTCTGCAATCCAGAAGAGAACTAACTCTCCCTAGGACCTAACCAAGCTGACACCCTGACCTTGGAATTCCAGACTCCAGGAGTGTGAGAAATAAATTGTGTGTGTTTTTTTTTAATAAGCCACCAAGTCTGAACAGCCTAAAATACCTTACTAAGTGCTTGTTTCATTTCCCAAACTTTTCAATGCCTCACCAACTCCTGTGACAAAAACAATTTTCCATTCTTTTTTTTTTTTGAAGGATAAAAAATAGATAGTCAGAGGTGGGCAGGAGAGCTCCAATTTGACATTCTTATTTTTTATTTTAATTGTGTGATATAATTGAACATCAAACTGATAACAATAATTATCTAAGGGTAGTGGGATTATAATTTTTTTTTTTTAATTCTACATGAGCGGGCCTCCCTGGTGGCGCAAGGGGTTAAACACCGCACTATAAAGCAATCCGCAGCCTCTGCGGCACATGTTATATCCCCAGCTGGCCAGAGAGAAATCCACATGGTGCAGGAGACCTCTCCTGTCTCATCTGCTGCTCCCCTCAGCAATTTCAGTCAATCTGCCTGTTCTGTTCCCCACTCTGTCTCTAGTGAGTCTTCTCACCCACTGCCTCTCTGGCCTGTACCCCAGCTCTTGTATGCATAAATAAATCTTTAAAAAAAAATAAAAATAAATTCTGTGTGAGTATGTACATAATCATACT